TGCTTTACGACTCTCATGGAGGCTGTATCGAGGCCTGTAGGTAGGATCAGCGCTGTATTTAACCCAGTCTCTTTGACTGATCGGGGACCGCCATGGCAAAGACAATATGGGCTGTGAAGCTCAACTTGGACCTCCAGTCACGATGAGCTCCCGTTGCGCCGATGAATTGGAAGTGCACCTGGACGCGCTACTACCAGAGATTTGTTGCCAAACCAAATCACACCCGATATACTATCGCTCGTCATCTGAATGAATGAACCTCGACTTCAAGCCCATGCGCCGACCGACCTTGACTGAGAAGAACGCCTGACCATCTGCGGAATTTTCATTTTGCAACTGCACAGATGGAACTTCCCTAGTAGATCTCAGTGGAGATGAGCCATAAATCCTCTACGACAATAACAGGGGGCACCTCTCATGGTTACCTCAAAGCCTGGACCCACCAGCTCAACCCACGTCCAAGCTCCATATTCGTAGGATTTTGTTCTTGATTTGTTGAATCGATTGGGTATCTTGTTTCAATAGACACTTTGCCATATGCAGACAAGTATTGCGAACGCCATCATGACACAGTTCCCGATGTTGGCCGCAGCAATGTGAGAGAACCGTCCTAATCGTCCCAAAATCTCCCTTCTCCGAATGAACGCACGACCTCACATTGAATAATAACTCGCCACTTTTTTCAACCTTCTTAAGGAAATTGGCTGCACGTGATACCATTCCCTTCGTATAACCCTGACATTACTCCATCGGACTATCACTCTCACAGGGACTTAAAGGCACGCTCCGCGATTCAGGCGCGCTCGCCTGTTCCATCCCGGGGGTAGTAGGCAGGCGGACAAGCGTTGATGTCGCGCCCCTTTTGCCGCTTGAAAGTGCGCGACAAAGGCGCAAGGAGCTCGTCCGACCCGCAACTCACACCTTCGTCCGCAAGCCCCACCCTCCGCTGTCGGTTGCCACGTGGCGCTGCTTGAAAAGCGCGGGCGCATTTGAGGCAGCGGTCCCAATCCAATGTATTGGCACTGGAGCAAGTAGAGTTAGGTTCGTGAAACTCGTCCAACGCGCCCTTCTCTATCCCAAGGTGGAATGTGGCTGAAATAGGGGAGGTCTCTGTGCGGGGCGTAATCGGTGGTTTCGTTTGCTTTCCTTCTCTTTTCCAGACCACCTCCCACCTATAGCTTCATAACTGAACGCTTTTCCACACCTATTTTATCCCGAATCTTGCCTTTAAGGAGCAGCGCGCAAGAAAAAAGTCAGTGAATACAACCACCCTCAAAACGAACCTCCGAATTCTTCAACTAGTAGCTTTCTCATTTTAGGCAGACAGCACCCAAAAGTTTCTAAAGGATGCATATCGATTACGACGATAATGGCTATATTTTTCTGACCAAGTGGTTTTTGAGAAAGATAATTTGAACAGATTAAAGTATCGAAATGGACAGAAATCAGGGGGCACTCAATAATTCTACGGCCTACGAAAACTCAGAAGTAAAATCGAGAATAGATTTTATAAACTCAATTTAGGATTTTGAGAAGTATCAGCGGTGGAGAAATCGCAGTGATCAATTCCTTCTCAGGGCGCTGAGCACTCTGTACCCTTAAAGGTATTTTATTTGAATGAGGCATTGTATGCGAATTGAATGAGCAGGCTGAAAACGAAAATGTTCGAGCAGTTGTGTCAAACCGGCAGGGCTTAGTGCCATTACCAAGCTTGGAGTATGGGGGTTGATTAGACGCGTCAGAAACGGCCCATGACTGTAATGTTCCGTACGGTGGTGTTGCCCGATTGTCCATCTGATGCGCAGCTCAAGTTCTAGGGGAAAACTATGTACACCTGACACTGAGTATTTTTCCTAATGCTTTACAGGGATGCCGGGGTCGGTGAACAACGTCCCGCCCAGACGGGACTCGATTCTGCCCTCTTATGGGCGGGACAAATGCGCTACAAGGTACCCGGGCACCATTCCATGCTACTTCTGTTTTCATAGTAAAAAGTTGGAACGAAGTCAATCGAAAAATGCATATTCATTTATTAGCATTCTTGTTGTACTCAAAGAGCGAAGTGAGAGGGAAAGGAAAGTTGGAGGCATTGATTTTCAGAGGCAAAATAAATATGGACATTTTGTTCTGAATTATTCCCTTTTTTACCGATCGTTGCAGATTTCCATTCCCTGTGGGGCGGGTTGGGAATGGGAACTCACAAGGTCTTCATATCGCATCGCGGTAGCCAGCAATCATCCGGTTAGAGGATCGGCTCATATTCGTTACGTATGTAAGTCGTTGGAGGAGAGGAAAACATGCGTTGGATTTGTATCGATGGGCGCTTAACGAATTACTCGAAGCTAATTTGAGCAACAGGCAGTCAAAATCGTCCACATGCTTGAAATCTTCCATCAGAGGCCATAATTAAAATAAGCTGGCTTGAACAATGCGATGGATGGAACTATGGATTTACACATGGGGCTCCTGATTTACATAGAAATAGGTGAAATTATCAACGAAGCAACTTACAAGGGAAGGTCTTTCAGGACATGGAGCGCTTTTTCGAAATGGTTTTCTGCATGTTGTAGGGGCTCATGCGAGGAACACAGAACCATGATCCATTTTTCCTGAACGCCTCCAGGAATGTCAAAACAGTGGTGAAGAAATGGTCCAGAGTTCGATCCCCGGTGATGACTAATTTTTGCAATATAGTTTGGCGCCCCCAGATTGCCGCCAAATCGTCGAGAATAGATGTCATTGTCGTGTTTTGCGGCAATTTGGAGGCGCCAACATAAATTGCAAAAATTTGTCATCACGGAGGATCGAACTTTGGACCATTTCTTCCCGCTGTTTTGACATTCCTAGGGGCGTTCAGGAAAAATGGACCATGGTTCTGTGTTCCTCACATGAGCCTCTACAACATTCAGAAAACCATTTCGAAAAAACGCTCCATGTCCTGAAAGACCCTCCTTGTTAGCCATTTGGCCCAGGCTTGAGCCGTGTATAAGGCTTCCTATTCCACTAGAACTCCATTTTTGTGGTAGCATTTCCATCGCGAGCCGCAGCGATAGAAATACCAGCCATAGTAGCGGTCGTTAATCATTTTAGAAGTGCGAAATAGAAAAAGTGGAAACACTGACCATCTCCTTCCCTCAGCACCCCCCCCCTCCCGTCCCCCTCGACAGAACGAAGGATCTCAATATAAAGAGCTAAACTTTGACTGGCCCGACCTATAATCTCAAAAGACCCCACGATTAGAAATGGAGGTTGGGTGGCAAATATGGCACATAACATAAATTAGAAAGCAGTTCATTTTTATCATGGCCTCCTCGGCAATGATAAAGGAAAGCTGACAATGTTTTCTTTGGGACCCTGAACTATTGGTGTCAAAAATTTCATCGTGTTCTCTTCAACGTTCAAGCGATGGCGTGCTGCATGAATGAGTTATCAACTTGAGTGATTCATCGCGTGTAATTTGTAGCCTGAAATGGCCGTCGTTTCAGCCATTTAATTTCAGAGACATTTTCTCGATGGGATTCGGGCCTTTCCGTTGGGTGTGCACCTCTCAAGAACCTGACGATCTTGCGCAAACAGATCGCATATCGTGTGAGGTGATCGAAAATCTCCTGAAAACGAAAGGTGAAATTCTTACCAGCCCATCGCTTTGATTTATACCTACTCAGAAGCTAAAATTTGTTGCTAATCACATTCCGATCGTCAAGTGTTGGCTCATTATCGTGTTCTGCCGGGAGAAATTTATTTGGGACCACGTTTTCAACTGAATTTCACAAGGGAAGCAATCGTGCTTTCATCAGATTGAATCCCGTTGACTTTCAGTGCCAGAACATGTACTGCAGCAGTACACAGACAACAAGAAGTGGATTGAAGGTGCAGCGGAGAATCGTCTCGTGGTCGGAAGTCAAGCTCGAATCCTCTATTCTGACCAAGAAGGGCGGATTGCCCTCGCTTTGGCATTCAACGACGCTGTCCGAAGCGGAAGAGTGTCTGTGAGTGGACGAGAGAAATTGTGAAATTTTTATTTATAAGCGCTATATGCCGCCCGCCTCGTTAGTAATACAAATTGGCCAAAACTTTGTGCGTCAATATTTTTCTTACATGTTCAATAGTAGGACGAGATCTCTGAGATGCGAAAGCCGCTTTATACAATAGTTCCCTGTATTTCCAGATTTTTCAAAATCATATGAAAATATGAAAATGAGCATTTTATAAATTCTGAGCGAGAAAGAGCAGAAGGTGGTTGGCATTGATGCTTTGCCAAAGGGGACGAAAATTCGCTCCTCTAACTGCTCGATTCCTCCGACCATGGCTCTGTACTGTGGGAGAATAATGGCAAGAGTGAGCGTCCGCGAGGGTGAGCTGACTGAACAGGCGAATCTGGACGAATTCTCGACCGATTTCACCTGCCGTAGAATCTGCGGCCACACACTCCTATGTTTGAATTGGGAATTTTCACTTGTGCTGCCGTAAAGCGGTCCTCTGTACAATATAGTTGTCTCGGAGCAAGCATGACGGGCCAAGAAGCTGTCCCTCAAAGGTGACGATTCATTTCTCATCCTCCTCATCATTCACCTTCAAATGACAGCCAGCTATAGGATCATCGGAAGCTTAATGCATTATCTTTTTGATGAATAAGCGTTTCTGTTTCCATAACCCAACCTCTTCGTAGCGAATACTTAGTTAGGGACGAGGTAGCACAAAAGCTCACCATTTTTTTTGGGGGGGGGAGGGAGTCAGGTACCAAGGAGGAATGATCATCGATGAGGGGAAATGCATCCTTTTTTCAGAAACGTTCGTCGCACGAAAGCGTGCGCTATACTCCCTAGCAGGATGAATATTGCTTGAGGATTCCTCAACGGCACGTCGAGGATTTTCGCCTGATCCTTTACGTTCTCGCGCGCGGATATTCACTCTCGCCACCCGCGAGCCGTCTGTGCTCTCCGCGCGTACATTCACTATCGGCTCTACTCTCGCACAGCAGAGAGCGATGGTCGAGGAATTCCTCGACCGTTATTCATCCTGCTTCCTAGGGATATAGCACTCGCAAAGCGACCTTTGATGAAATCAAACTCCTATCTGCAGGCACCAATCGTCATAGCAAGGGACCATCATGATGTCTCAGGAACTGACTCGCCGTTTCGCGAAACATCGGACATCAGCGACGGTAGTGCCTTAGCGGCCGATATGCTGTTCAGAAACGTTCCATAAAGGTGCGAAATTTCATTGGCAGATCCTCATCGTTTAAAGAATGCTCAGTAGGCAGATCTCGCCGCCGAGTGGGATTCCGAACGTGCATCACTTGCTTGCCCCGGATCAATTGGTGCTACGCCATTACCGACGGGCATCACTTCACTCTAGCCTCAAATCTCTTTAATGGTATATAAGGACTTAGTTGGAGCCTGCATGTGCTCAAGGTTTCCCCATACGAAGTTATACGAAAATTCGGTGCTAACTTAGTTGGGGGGCCACGCGGCGGCGCGGCAGTCTGCTCGCCTGGCATGTTCGGAAATCCGTGGGCCAGGGGGAGTGTAGGCAGTCTAGGGGGGGGGGGTGGGGCAGTCACTTGACATGCGTGAAAAGCTGGAATGTTCGAGTTTACACTGTCTCGCTCGAGAGAGCCCAGGTGAGCAGACTGCCGCGCCGCCGCGTGGCCCCCCCCCAACTAAGTTAGCACCGCAAACTTTCGACACGAACTGCAGTGTCAAAACAGCAGTTCATAAACAAAACAAGTCTGGATCGTTTTCTTTGAACAAATGTAGCTATATGTCGTGGTTCAGGTGACTCATTCCGCGGCGCCACATGGGTGTCATTGCACAACGGAGGCGGAGTCGGATGGGGTGACGTGATCAACGGAGGCTTCGGATTACTTCTCGACGGAACCGAGGTGCCGATCACATCAGCTTAAATTAGGCTAACACAGCAAATGCAATCCAGTAGCGCGAATGCTGGGAACAGAATCCGATTCAAGCATTTCATTTTGGGCAATTGCCCTTTTTTTCCACTTTTCTCCAATTTATGGTGGTTTTTGAGCAGCGTCATTTGACTTCAAAATTACAATTGGGACCTGATATGGCAACAATTTGTGGACTTCTGCTTAACTAGAACTATTAGAAGAAACTAGATCCTTTGAAATAAATTACCAAATTGTATTCGTTTTTGCAGGAAGCGAAGAGCGGACGTCTCTAATGGAGTGGCTCGGCGTAGTTGGTCAGGAAACCGAAAGGCGCGTGAAGCTATTCAGAGAACGCAAACACTGGTGAGACACAAAAGCTCCATTTATTATTGCTATGACATCGGCGAGCCGGAAACCGAGCGCTGTCTTGCCAGAAACTGTTCTGCAAGAAGGCCATTCTTAGAAAATGAGTAGCACCACACAAGCGCCAGAAATAGACCTTCAATGACAGAAAACATACTTCACTAGCCGCTGCCGATAATTTCGCACTAGAACATATTTGGAATGGTGAACCTACGTGAAATTGGAGGTACAGAGGAACTATTCCGTGCCTGATGTGGTTGGTTGTATCTGAAAATGAAGGAAGATGTGATGTTTGGTTCACTAGTACTGAAAAAGCGGAAAAATTTGCTAAAAATACTTGAAAGCACATTGCGCACTGATCGTATGGGCGGAGTTTGCGCCTCACCGTTACTGGTAAACTCCTTTACAGAGAGATGAGCGATGTCAGTGCTTAGGTGGGTCATTTCTAGTGGACTGGTTCAGCGCCCTACTTCTGGCTTCGCCTGTTTACCGTATCTGCCCCTTTTTTAAATAGTTTTACCCCGTGCAACAACGCTTGTAACACACGTAAACATCATACTCGAGTTTGAAAAAAAGCACAAATTATTTCGCTACAAATTTTAAGTTTTTTTTTATTTTATAAAATTACATCTTTGGCTGAATCAACAAAAAATTCATCAAATCTTTAAACAAAGTCCATATCAGAGAAACAGATAATCAGTTAGGTTCGTATGGACAGGCGGATACTCCACCTATACGATCAGCATGCTACGCGTTTTTGAGGATGGATACTTTTTCGCTTCTTTTGATTGTTCAATCGCATAATGTACCTTCAAGTAAATAGCAGTCGCACTACGATCCAGTTTTGCTTTCAAATGGTCGTAATAACAAAAGTAGGCGGTGCTGACTGATCCTTTAGAGACGGATTTTACGGTGAAAAGGCAGCCCATTGAAATTTAAGTTAGAGATGGTCAGTGATACACGGAAGAAAAAACCATGAAAATGGCCTAGAACCCGAGAAATGGGACCCTTCCTTGCCCGTTGATTTGCGCATTGATGCGACTCATCGGTGCTGCCCTCTTCAACGCTAACGCTCTCTCTGCTGAACGGCTAGAGACTCAGACACGAGACGACGCGAGAGGGGGCGTACCGCGCCAATAGCGCGCCAATTGCGCCGCGGGGAAGGCCATGATAGATCGCCGATTGCGCGCGGGGAAAGGCAATGCTAATCGCTAGGCATCACCCTTGATCGAATGCATGTCCGGTCTGCACCCTTGGCAGTTCCACCTGTCTCTCCACAATGACTTTTCCGTTCTCCGATCCTTTCGCTTTGTGGCTTAACGGTGAGTCCCTTTATGAGGTGAACACATTCAGTTTTAGCCTGAAGTCCACCATACCAGTTGGCACATATAACGACTTGCTGAGGCTAAGAGCTATTCAAGTCATTACATGGATCATTTTTATTTATGCCAGAGTAAGGCAACAACAAAGCTGAGTGGTTCAAACACACAAAATAAAAAAAAAAAAAAAAAAAAAAACAAGAAAGAAAAAAAAAAGAGAAAGAAGGATAAAAAAAAAAAATGCAATGAAAAACCCATGCCTACTTCGAAGCCTCCTTCAGAAATGTCACCATATCTGGAGGCGTTGTTCATGAAAGGGGAGGGAAGAGGATAAGATATACCATACTGCATGTGGAAATGGAGATCGTACACCCCGTCTCGACATTACACATCTAGTCAACAGAACCGGAGAAGGAATTTTCGGTTTGAGAAGTCTTAGTCTCTGGTTAGCGATCATAATCCGCGTGGAGTTATCGAATGTGGCGTCATGAGGGGAAGCCATTCGCTCAAATTCATCGTGAGCAGATAGAAAATTGCGTTTTACGGTCATAAGGTCGAAGAAAGAGTGCAAAGCAAGGAAGATTAGACACAAACGACAGCCAAGGAAATGGCAATGCTCCTATTTTTTTTTTTTTTTTTTTTTTTTTTTTTTTTTTTTTGTTTTGTACTGATTGTTTCTCGCACACGAATAGCGGAAGGACATTACCCATTTCCTCGGCTGAGCACCATTCAGATCAAAATCACGCCATCACCGTTGTCTTGTACCCTCCCCTTCAAAAAGCGAGAAAGAAGTCGGAGTGCAGACCATGCACCACAAGTGACGACGGCCTTCACAAAATGTTAATGTTTTCTGCCAATGAAATGATTAGCCTGTTGCAGTTGTATTCTACCGATTGTCTCTAATTACAACTATCATTACCAGAAATCAGCTATCATTCTCGATCCATGCCCGCCGTGCAAGCTCCCGACCTGACCCCTATAAAAGCGAACAGGCACCAGTCAATGGATTCCGTGAATTGCACCATGCGTTTCTTCGACGCCCGTTTTCTTTCCTCTCTGAACTAGTTTATGCCCGATTTCAAAACAATTAACACATCTGCTACTACAAAGATCTTTCCTGGAACTAGAAACTCATGAACTTCCATGAACTTTAAGTCCTCTCCTTGCTAAGCCAAGGCAGAGGAAGAGGCAATGTCTTACGTCCCAATACAGGGTCCCAGCCGCCAGCGTTCGCCCATTTCGGGGCCCCCCCCAAAACTCACAACCGAGTTCCCTCTTTCAGAGCATCTCACCTACGAACTCTACCATAAGACCTTACAAGGGTCCCTGACGAGAATGATGACCCCCTATCACATCCTCCACCCCCCCCTTCACCCACCATGGCTGTTTCCGTTGTAGGATGAACATTTTCCCAAGAAATGGCCGACCGTTCTAAATTAGTCCACTTCATACCTAATTTTGCAGTTTTCCACAAAGTTACCCGCCAAAAAACACCCCTCTTCTGAAGCTGAGACGCCTTCCAATTTCCGCACACAACCCCTTTTTATTCCTAACTGGTCAAATCTGATTACGACCGCCCCTGTCCTGGAAGCCGAGGGTGTTGAACCCACTCAGATTTTTTTTTCCAAACCAAAATTCAGTACGATACTCAGACAGGTCAGTCACACTCCCGGCAGTAAAGCTCGCGCACGATAGTCTAAAAGGTGGTAAAGCAAGTCTTGCTTGCCAAGGCACACTCATCAGCATACTTCGGCTGCAGCCTAACAGCTCCTCATGTGAACACTAAACTCAAACTGACACATTTTTAAAACCATTTTACAGAATGAGAAGCTTTGCGTCACGATTCCTAATGATGCCGACGACTCTCTTCTCGATCAACTCTTCTAATCGATGAACAATTTCAAGTTATTTACATTCTCACAGAGCAATTATTAATCATTTATCTTGAATAAAGTGATAAGAATTGTAAATCCTTACAGTGCAAATTTAACAATCTGAACCTTACAAAATAGCCAATCGATACGACGAACAAAGCCAATACATGAGGCCAGATGTTTCCGGTAGGTGTAAATACCGTCACGAGAATTAGGCGCACGAATGACCACATTCAAGATCAGAAAATGGAGAAGGGAAAATCGATAGCTAGGGCCGGCAGCACCTCGGCAGATCGCAGGGGAGAAGAGAAAGGTGAAGACAGCTACACGGGATTTAGTAGAACGATGGCTCTGCCTCGTATAACAAGAAAACGTCGTGATCAGTGATGCGTGGACAAGAGAATAAGCAAAGCGAACTTGAACACAATGTTCTACAGTAGGATACACTTGCTCTTCTTCTTCTTTTTCTGCTGAAGTGCTGCCTGCGTTGCCTTTTCGAAAACTTCGCGGATTCCCTGCAAAAACGTAATTAAAATTGGAAACCTTAATTTAGACCAACGAAACAACGGATAACTTGTCATGAAAAACACAACTCACATCCTTAGTTTTCGCTGAGCACTCTAGATATGCAAAAGCTCCAATCTGCTCGGCTATCGCACGCCCTTGTTCAGGTCTAACGGGTTCCTATAAACCAGCTTAATTATGAAACGGAAATAATAACTCTAGTGGAAAGAAATGAAATATCAACAAGACAACTGGGAAAGTGTGATTTTCCATACATTGTGTAAAATGTGGAAATGACAGCATTGTTGAAAGCATTCACTAGCACTGATTAAATTCCATTTCATACGTGCACCAGCAAGCGAGCTTGCAAAAGCAGAAAATCGAAGTGAAAAAATACGTGGGAACAGCGGAACTGTGTACCAAATTAGAAACTTGCTCTATCTTTGGTATTATCTGAACCTAATGATGAGAGCTACCCTAATATGCGTGCAGCAACATGCTTCTCAACCCGGAGGGTGAAATTTTATGTAACTTCATCAGGTAGGTAAGATTTAATGTAACTTCATCGGCTACCCAAGTAAAGTTTCAAGAAGAGATCGAGCTAGACATCGAAACAAGCGAAAACGTAAAAAAGAGTACTACTAATAAGAGATAAAGTTCCCTTCTTGCACCCACTTCGAAAACCATGCATTCATTCTGCTTACACTTAGAATGGGAGCAATATGACCATTTACTCATTTGCTTTCAACATGACCACCTCCAAACCATCTATGGCCGATGTCATACTTTGCGAATCGCTCGATTGGTTGGTTGTAACAAAAGATATCTTTTCACATAAAGGCAACACTAAACAGACATACCTGTTTCATTTTAGCCAATTCTCGTACGGTTTGAGGGTCGTTCCGCAAATCTTTCTTATTACCAACAAGAATGATAGGTACATTAGGACAGAAATGCCGAACCTATAAAATAGTAAAAATAATGATGAGGAATTGAAACCGTTTCACTTTTTATGAATTAAAATATGTAATGACTGCTCTTAGGTAAACTTAGACCTGCACACAAGTTAATTATTACGCATAGAATTGGTTCAAAACTGATCTTCTAGATCTTTGACAAGCATAATACGCGGTTTTCTAACACTTTTGATTTGTTTCTCCCATTTCTCTCTTCATATATCCTTGACAGTGTTTAATTTGAAAATTCTTCTGAGGAAATGATATTTTCGAACGAAATATGTAAAATGGGTCCATTTACAAATACTCCATCTGATCAAGAGGAATATTAAATTCGGATCAGCTCAAATAAACCCGAAAACCAATGCTGAAGGCTGAGACATAAGTCACACTTACACTAACTCTCCTCATATTGCCCCAGCCTAAAGGATTTCAACATCATCATGTGAACAAAGCGAATTTTCAGGTTACAAGGCTTTGTTCAATC